GGGGGTGTTGGGGGTTTCCTTCATTTGGGGGGGGTTATTCCCCATTTTAGGGTCCCCTTTCTCACTTAGGGGGGGATCAAATTCCATTTTGGGGTATTACTTACCCATTTTAGCAGGATCCTTTCCCTATACGGGGGGCTTCTCCCCCATTCTGGGGATCGCCTTCCAGTTTCAGGGGGGCTCATTCCCCATTCTGGGGGATTTCATTCCATTTTGAGGATTTCTTCCCCATTTTAGGGGCTTACTCCCTATGAGGGATCCCTTCACAATGTTGGGAGAGTTCTTTCTCATTTTTGGTGGATTTCTTCCCAAACTTGGGGGTCCCACCCCCATTGTAGGATGGATTGTTCCAAGATTTAAATGCTCCATCCCCCATTTTAGGGGCGTTCCCACCCCATTTCATGGCTCCCCATTCCAGTTAGCCTTCCTCCCTCTTTATTTTAGGGCCATTCATCCGCATTTGCAGGGGGGGCTTCACCCCTATTTTGTGGTGAGTGGCACACTATGGGGTTTGGGAAGATCAGGGGACTTGGGGGGTGGGCTCAGGACGTTTTTGGGTATTGGGAAGGACCCACCTGCTCCTCAACGCTGTCATCTGCCTCCACGTCAAAGAGGGCTCCCAAATAGGAGAGGTGGAAGAGGGCGAGGACCCCCAGCGCCCCATTCAGCACCTGCACCCACAGTGCCTGCAGATGGGTGGGGGGGAAACAGATTGAGGGCGGGGGGAGGGGGGCTGCACTGCTGAGACCCCCCCCAAACTCCTCAGGAGTCCCATGGGCATCGTGGGGACCTTTCAGTGTGCCTTCCAGGACCTGCCTTCTCAAAATCCCCCCGAAAACCTCAGGACCTCCTCGCAAATAAAGACCCAGGGTCCACCCCAAAAACAGGACACCCCAAGTTCTCCAAAACTCCCCAAAATGTCACCCCACCCCCAGTAACCCTTCAGAAAACCTCAGGCTCCCCTGCCACGCTCTCCCCACGCCCCTCAGTGCCCCCCCAGGCCCACACTTACATCCTTATTGCGGTGGGCGCAGCCGGAGGGGCAGCGCTTCGAGAGGACGCAGGCATCCAAGATGGCCGCCAGGCGCTGCCGCAGGGCTGGGGGCGGGGCCAGGCTCACGCCAGGCCACGCCCACATCCACCAGGCCCCGCCCACCCCCAGACCCCACTCTTAGGATTCAAGCCCCGCCCACAGCACTTAAACCCCACACCATCATTATGCATCGTTAAGCCCCGCCCACAACCCAAAGCGCCAAACTCTAAGCCCCGCCTACAACCTTTAAGCCCCACCCACCACCTTTTAGCCCCTCCCATATTTTAAGCCACACCCAGACACACCTATACCTGTAAGCCCCGCCCACACCCATCTCTAAGCCCGGCCCACATCCATTAACCCCACCCACCACCTTTAAGCCCCACCCACACCCTTAAGCCCCGCCCACATCATACAAGCCCCGCCCACTTCATACACCTATTGTGATAAGCCCTGCCCCATGCCTCAATCCCCTTTCAGCCTATCCAATAAGCTTTGCCCTTGGCAAGCCTCGCCCACTCATCGCAAAGCCCCGCCCACTTTCTCGTCTTGGCTCCACCCCTTAAAGGGCCAGCGCTCACCGTGCTCCGCGTAGGTGATGAGGCCGAGGGAAAGGAGGACGGCGGCCAGGTGGAAACTGAGACCCTGTGGGGGGGAACGGGGGACGTTGGGGGGCACCGGGGGGGGGCACAGAGGACGAGGGGGGCGCTGGGGGGGGGGCAGAGGACTCACATGCAGCAAGGCGCTGGCTGCGTAGGTGCCCAACACGGCCGCGAAGGTCCCCAAGCGCCGCGCCGTTTGGAACACATCTGGGGGGGCAAAGGGGGGAGGAGGAACGCCGTGAGGGGTCACCGTGCCCCCCCGGTGCCCCCCAACCCCCCCGCAGGTGGTCCCGGCGCTCACAGGTGCGCAGCCAGTGGGACATGGGCAGGTTCCAGTTGGTCACCACGTCGGCCATGGAGCGCGGCAGCTCCACGCGCAGCGGCCGCGACACCGTCAGGTCCCTGCGGGGGCAGCGGCCTCAGCCCCACGTGGCCCCACTGCCCCACTTGGCCCCAAATAGCCCCACATGGCCCCATATGGCCCCACTGCCCCACGTGGCCCCACTGCCCCACTTGGCCCTACATGGCCCCACTGCCCCACATGGCCCTAAATAGCCCCACTGCCCCACATGGCCCTTTTAGCCCTCATTGCCCCACATTGCCCCCATTACCCCCCACTGCCCCCTCTTCCCCATCTTGGCCCCATTATCCCCGCTGCCCCACGTTGCCCCCATTGCCCCTGTTGCCCCCATTATCCCCCACATTACCCCCATTATCTCCCACTGCCCCCATTATTCTCCACTGCCTCCCAGTGTCCCACGATCCCCAGTCAGCCCCCACTGCCCCACACTGCCCCCATTATCACCCGCTGCCTCCCATCCTCCCCCCACCAGCACAGGCTGTCATGCAGCACTGACGCCCAGGAGCCCACCGCCCCCGTACCCCCCACCCCCCCTCTGCCCCCAAACCCCCTACATCCCC